AACGCAAGGGTTACGCGACGATCTCGAACATGAGCGGAATAGGCGTCTCCAAATGGCGGACACTGCCTTAAAGCATCGAGCTGAGTTTGCCTTTGCTCAGCTTGAGAACGAGAGATCTCTGACATCTCTTCGTGACGAGCTAAGGGTAGCTCGTGGGATTGTTGATCGGTCTCGGGATGAGATAGCTGCTCTTCAGACCCTTGTTCATGCCCACCATCGGGAGCACAAGGCTCTCTGCGAGATGCTTGAGCGCAAGGGCGTTCTTCATCGGAAGAAGCAGCGTACTGATGGTACGGCTTAAGCCGACCAACGTAAAACGTGGGATGCGTTCGCATCTTACGTGGTAACTCGATCGTGTATGCATTGCCTAGGCGGTGCAATACACGAAATGGGCCGATGTACTTGGGTAGTAGTTTACTGCTACCCAAGTTAGTCACTACATGCTTTGGTAGATTAACCGTAGACAGTAGGACTAAGTCACCTTTATTAAATAAAAGAGTGCTTGCCCTTCCATTCTTGTCAGCGTTTTGCTTTTGCTTATCCACCGCTTCGGCGATGGAGTCTTTCACAAAACGGACTACCGTTTCACGAGCCAGTATGAACTCATCTCATGACTCGTTAGCTTCAGTGCGCTGTGAGTGCACTGCAGCGACATCAATCTGTTCTTCAGTGAGGGCTTCCGCACTCTCACTGGCATCATATTCTTCGATATCGATGTTATCGATATCGGCATCAAACGCAATGACTTCTTCGTCAGAGCGTGATGAGCGTGAACCAAATCGGTTTTTGCTCGCGCGAGTCCCTCCCCCCCTTAAACCAGAGTTACACTCTAGTAAGGTGGGTACACGCGGATGGCGCAAGCCATTCACGTAAAACGGTGTATGTGTCGTGGACGTATGCACCGAGTTGTTAATGGCAAACTCTACCATTGGCAAAAACTCACTCCAACTCTTAAAGGAGTGTACGTATCCTCGAAGTATCTCTTCAAGGACACGATTAGCTCGTTCCGTCTGACCATCTGACTCTGGATGATCAGATGTCGACATCTTCAAGCGCGTTCCGAGTGATTTGAACACGAAGTGCCAGAAATTAGCATTGAATCGTGGATCTCTGTCTGATACGAGTTCACGGGGCAACCCATGAAGTCGAAAGATGGTGTCAAAAAAGACACAAGCATAGCCACTTGCTGTGATTGACTCTGGTACAGCCACAAGATGTACCATTTTGCTGAATCTGTCAACAAATACGAGAATACCCGTATTCTTGCGTGCGTCTTTGGGTAACCCGAAGACGAAATCCATTGAGATGGATTCCCAGCACTCTGCCGGAACTGGTAGAGGCTGTAAAGGTGTACGCAGTGAAGGGCTTGACTTCACTCGTTGACAGACTTCGCATGCGCGAACATACTTTCGCACAAACTGATACTGGCGGGGCCAGTAAAAGTCTCGACTCACCGTGAGATATGTTTTCTCCCGGCCACGATGTCCTCCTATATGAGCATCGTGATACTCGAACATGATCCGCAAACGCAGGTCAGTATCATCTGGAATGACACACGTGGTGTTTCACCAGTAACGGCTGTATAATACAGTAAACCGTCGCGAGTAGTGTATCGATCTGATGCAGATCGATACGCAGGCGACAATCGTTTTAACGATTCTCGAGATGGTTGGGAGAGATGTGTCAACAATTTTACAATCTCACCATCTTGGGCATACGCCCGCCTCACATCATCATACAACGTTGAAGATGGTACTGAGGACGTCATAACCACAACAGTGGCTGTCTCATTGTTGGGTTTCACGACTGGTTCAAAGCCGGGACGACGTGAGAGTGCATTAGCGACGACATTAAGTCGTCCTGGTTTGTACTCGACCGTAAAGTTGTATTCTGCAAAGAATGACAACCACCGCGCCATTCGTTGTGAAAGGTGCGGGCTGTTCACTGCCGTGCGTAATGACGCATGGTCAGTGTAAACAATGAAGGGTCTATCTCCTAATAGATAGACTCTGAACTTCGCGAGTGCATACTTCATGGAAAGGAATTCCTTGTCATGCACTGGATAGTTCCGCTCAGCTGGTTGCAGCTGACGCGACTGATAGCAGACGACGCGTTCAACGCCTTCAAGATCGTACTGCATTAATGCACAGCCGATTGCAAAATCGCTGGCATCACAGACCACATGAAATGGCCTGTCCTGATCGGCAATTGCTAGGACTGGGGATTGTATCAAGCTCTGCTTGATACCATCAAAGGAGCGCTGACATTCAGCGTTCCATAACCACCTCTCGTTCTTTTTCAACAAACGAGAGAGGTGTACAGTCGTCTCGGCATAATTGCGTGAATACTTGTGCAAATACGCCGCTAGCCCGAGGAATTCTCGAAGACCTTTGACATCAACTGGCACAGGCCAGTCGGTGATCGCCTTGATCTTTTCGGGATCAGGACGTACACCGTTCTTACCAACGATGCACCCAAGAAGTGGTATTTTGCTTGCTGCAAATATGCACTTCTTGAGGTTGGCATACAATTGATGCTTTCGCATGATTGTAAGAACCTGTCGGACGTGGTACCTGTGAACCTCAACATCCGACTTTCCATCCATAGCCCGACTATGGATGAATACGTCATCGAAATAACTCGGCGCGAATTCTCGTACTGGTCTCAACAGATGTGATACACATCTGTTGAGCGTGGCAGGGGCAATACTAAGCCCTTGTGGCATTACTAGCCACTCCCAGAGCATGTCGCTAGGCGTTCTAACTGCGGTATAGGGTATATCCCGTTCTCGCATAAGGATTTGATAGAAGCCATCCATCAAATCCATGGACGAAAAGATGGTACTCTTTGACATACCATCAATGATTACGTCCTTCCTCGGTATCGGCGTCTGAGCCGGTACCGTTGCAGCATTCAACTTGTTAAATGCATGCACAACGCCAACCTCCTGTTGCTTTTCGCACACAGAAGATCGGAGATCTATGTGGGGAAGTTGATTCCCTCAAATTGCCTGCAGCTAAACGATCGGCAAAGAACTTGTCGATCGCAAGTACTTGTTCACGAGGCAGTGGCCACTGCTTCATGACACAGTACTTCGAGCCTGGTTTAAGCTCGACCTCGTGTCGAATACCTTTATCCTTCGGTAATTCGCACGGAACAGTTTCAGGGAATACATCCTTGAATTCAACCAAATCTTCATAGAGAGGATTTGTCTTGAGCGATTCCCACGATTGGGAGTCATATCGCTCAATTCGTGTCTTTTCATCTAGGACACTCTCGTCCATAGATGAACTACTGAGAACTCTCTCGTTCTCAGTAAACACTGTTGCTGACCTTATGTCGGCTACACACTCGTTGCCAGCGACGAGTGCGCAGATCTGCTTGACTTTGCCACTACGCAGATCACGCAAGAACCTTTTATGTTCGAGCGTTGGCAACTGAATGATCTCCGAAGTCAACTTCGGAGGCGCAATCAGATCAAGTGTATAAGCGCCTACACTTGATCCGTCATTGACTAGGACATTCAATGTCTCTATTTCATGGGGACTTTTTACCTCAGGCTTCGAAGGACTTATTCTTTCGGCTTTCCGGGGACTTATTCCCTCGGGTTTCGGGGAACTTATTTCCGCCGTATTTGTAATATCGGGACTTATTCCCTTAACTTCCTCTAGCTGTGGTTGCGCAACCACAGCGAGATCCTCTACGAAAGACTCTCCAGTCGATCTAGGATTATCGTTTCGCTTAACCTGAGAGATCGATTGTTTCTTTTCTAGATGCTCCCCGCTAAGGATACATCTTTGTCCCGGTCCACTCGACTTATTCGAATGGTGGACCTTCGGCGCAGCCTGTGTTTCCTCACAGCCGCCGGAACTTTGCTCCGAAGTGTAACCGTTTGGTACACTAAGGTTTTGTGCAGTCGTACTAACGACCGTACCACAAGTGAGGCCATCGCACTCACTCGTAGTACATCCACACGCTTGTGGACGCTCCAAAACGTTCATCAGATGGCCATCTGATGAACAAGCAGCAGGCATCGTTACTGTTCGATGTTGCCAGTTTACCCGTGGTTCGTAACTTCTGAGCCACGGTATTCCAAGGATGACATCAAATTTGTCATCCAAATCCAATACGACAAAGTCATCGTCATATTGGGTATCTTCTAGCGCATAGTGGATCTTCACTATACGCTTCATGACGGTTACGGATGTGCCTGTCGCAAGACGTACCGTCATCCTCGTAGGAGGTGTGTCACATTCACTGAACTTAAAGTGACCATCTTCTAGCGATTGGCGTCGCACAAAATTGTTGGACGCCCCACAATCGACTAGAGCTCGAAGGGACAACTTATTCGTCACTTCGAGTTTCAAGGTAATGAGTGAGATCTCATTACCTAGAGCAGCAATGCACAATGTTTGTGTGTTGGGAGCAACCTTCATCAAGAGGCCTACAAATTCTCTTGACATTGCTGGACCAGTATGGTGCTCCGCACCTACTGATCCTGTCCGTTTTTTGATGGTCCATCCTGTTGTTGCGTCTTTGCACCAACAACGGACCCGCGTCCCTGCCCCTTTCTCATGGGTGGACGGTCACTACGCCCAGTGTCGCGAGACACTGGACGAGGGGCACTACACTCGTAAGCGTAGTGTCCTGTCTTTTGACATCTGTTGTATTTCTGCAACTTCTTGTAGTCTGTAGAGCGAGCCTTCTCGCTCTCAACATAACAGAGTTCCATCGGCTCTGGACTTACGCTGTCATATCGTCTCGTTTGATGACATGATGTTGAGCTGGCGCGAGCCTGTCTCAGACTGAAGTCTTCCTGTTCCGCAATGGAAATGGCTTGTTCTAGTGAATCTAGTTCAAGCCGGAACAGGTGAGTCTTGACGGGACCATCCGCAAGACCCTGCATGAACACCGAAACCAACGTGTGTTCATCAACCGGGTTGGAACTTATACAACTCGTGAGATGTCGTATATGTTGCGCGTAAGCGTGCACATCACGCTTACCCTGCTTGAGCTTCAAGAGTTCGGTTCGAGCTCTGAACCTCAGCTCTAGGCGGTTCAAACGTTTGTCTGAGCCGCGACTTGAAGACTTCCAACGACACAAACGCATATGGGTCGTGCAACTTGAGCCCCAGTGCCCAAGTCTTGGCACGTCCTGCCAGATTTGACTGGGCAAATGCAACTTGCATTTCCCCGTCGTCGATGCGACGCGCCCTTATGGCGTCGTCTAATTCGACAAACCATCTCAAGAGGGAGTCCTCTTCGACTCCCCTATACTTGGAGATGTCAATCTTCAAGGTCTCGGGTCGACGCGAGTGCATCGACCCACCAGCATCAGCCTGCTGCTGTCTCAACAGTTCGAATTGTTGAGCACCCTGTTCTCTCAACAACTCTGCTTGTTGAGAACCTTGTTGGTGAAGCGAGGCTATTTTCTCGCGTTCAGCGTCAAGTTCATTTTGAATGAACTTGGCGATAGTAGCATGTTGGGCATCTCTATTGAGAGCCTCTAGCATGACGCTAACAGCATGGATGCCCATGGTTGAACCCATCCGTTCAACCGCATCCCATTCGACATCGCTCAAATGGGAGTAGCCGTCACGCGCAGCGTGAAAGCTTTGGTCATCTTCATCATCCAACATATTCATGTTAGATGTGAACGTGGTCCTTGGACGGACTACGAAGTGCTACCAGGTGTAACGGGACACCCTGAAGCTTGTACTGGTGACAGTACAAGCTACTTATTCTGATGACAGAATAAGGCGGTGCCTCGGAACTTCACGTACACTCGTACGTGCAGAGGAAGACGGTAAGAAGAAGCGAGTACTTGGTTAGAGTAAAAAGTAGAACTGTATTTATAACAGTTAATGTCTGCAATAAATCACTATTTATCTTCATCCAACTATGTCTGAATACAAATGTGTAAATCAACTATCCGCTCACCACTCATTGCGTGCGTCTGTCGTGGCGCGTCTTCGTTGGTTGATATAATGGCCTATATCAACCAGTTAGGAACTACTCGTAAGTGCTGCATAAAATTTGTCCTTATGACAACATTCTGAGAATACAAGTCTTATAGTTATATTCTATTTACAATTTCTTGTAAATTGTCATGCAACGGTTCACCCCGTTACAACCTCGCTCCTTGTCCAAAATTCCTACTACCGTACGGAAATCGGTCAATAAAGCAATAGTACCGCATTTTCTCGCGCACGTTGCTCAAACTTGCCAACAGAAACCTATCGGATCCTATAAACAAGTTGCTGGGGAAAAGCAAGCTACAATGTTCACATCGAGTAGCTTCTTCAAAATCAGTCAAAGCTACAAAAATCGAAGTAATCCGAGTGCTCCACTGCTTAAAACGCGGTAGTACCACGCTTCGATCGATTGATCCACTGACAAATAACTGCAATATCACTTTAGAAAAACACAATAGAACTCTACTGTTTTTTTTGTGCCGAATTGAGCAAATCAAGTCGCCAGTGAATGGACGCGCTTGAAGCCGCGTGCGTAGCGCTGCATGCGACGCCCACAGGCCCCGAAGCCGCGCGCCGCCGGGCAGAAGCGGAGTCCGTACTGAACCACTTCAAGCGCAGTCCCAGTGCGCTGTCCGATGCCATCTCCCTGCTCCGCTTAGGTCCGACGCCGCCCGTTGTCCAGTTCCACTGTATAGCCACGATTCGAGACGTTTTACTGCAGCGCTGGACGCTGTTCTCGCTCTCGGACAAGACTCAGGCACTGGATTTTCTGATGCATTTATTACTGGAGAGAGGAAATGCGCTGTCGCGGTTTGTCGCAGCGGCCGCGCTGCAGACGACGGTGCTGCTGGTCAAACGAGGTTGGCTCGACCGCCTCGAGTCAGAGCGGACGGCTCTGTTGCATCAAATGGGGGCTATGCTGCAGAGTTGCAATGGTGAAAATGGTAGTACTGCTGGTACTACGATCGGGCACCGCTTAGTGGCTGCCAAGTGGCTACTGGCGTTCGTCACGGAGTTTTCCTCGGCATCTCGAGCGAGCAAGATGTTGCAGCCAGTTGAATTCCATACCAAGTCACGACGCACGTTGGAAAAAAGTGGAGGATTGAGGACACTTGCTGCATTGGCGATGCCGTTATTGGAGGACTCGATTCGGAGCACAACAAGTGCTTGTGGTGGTACTGCTGGTGAAGTCCCAGTGGGGCAGTTGGAGCTGCTGGAGACAGCGTTTCGACTTTGTGTGGAGCTACTGAATTGGCAATTTGAAGATATGCGGGCGGGGAATTTGACGTGGAGTTTGCGTGCTTCAGCAAACGAGGAGGACACAGGAAATCGACCAGTGTTGATGCCGCAAGCTTCTTGGCGACCTATTCTCGTACGGTTGGATTTGATTCATTCGGCCTTTAACACGTATGCTTTCTTTCGTAACGTTGCAGCCAAGAACGAAACGCTGCTTCACTTGGCTCGCCAGTTTCTCATTCAGCTCGCCTCTTTACAGGGTCCGATCTTTGAGCGTAAAACGGAACAAGTGCAGTTTTTAGCTGAGATCTTTCGTGGCGTTGTCACAGTCGTACACAATCCATTCTTGGATCTGCTATCACAAGACGATGTTGCTGGGTATGAGCTCGCCACTCGTGAGCTAATCGATTGTTGCCAGCTGATTTTTCGTCTTGTGAACAACATTGGCCTTGAGGCATTCCTGCAGGCAAACTCGGGACAGCTTTTGTCTTCTTTTATCGAGGAACTAGTCTCGTTGACCAGCAAACTTCTACATTCGGCTTTGGAACGCATCCGTCGGCACATGCGTGAAAATCCTGATGATGCGATCGATGAGTTTTGGGAATTGGAGGGTATTGGCATTTTATTGGATGCTTGGGTTGTACTCGTAAATGACCCACTGCTGTTCGAGGTGGACGTGTCAGGGTCTACTAAACCTGAAGCAGAACAAGCACTAGTGCTCCTTAGCAACGCATCAGCACCAGTTGTAGAGCTCTACATTCAGGTTCAGCTGGAGATTTGTGCAGTGGAGACTCTAGCAGTACAAGATGAAGACGAAAACGTTGAAGACAATGCCGCTAGTAGTGCACGCGAACAATATGAGCTGGCTGCAGCTCTTGCTAGGCTAAACGTTTCTACATCCGCTTTTTTGCTAGTATCGCTTGTCCGGTCGTTAATGGATAACGTGCGACAAGAATTGGAAAATCTGCATGGGCGTGACGAATCAACCCCAGCGCTCTTGCAACTATTCGAGAAGCTACACTTTGTTGTTCTCTTCGTAGGGATTTTTCTTGCGGATGACTACGAAGGCGAACAGCCTAGCATCCCAAGGCAAATTTGCAGCACATTTCGCGATGTCGCCACTGCTGAAGAATCGCCTGTGATTGATCTTATAATGCTTATCATGAGCCACGTGCTTGATTTTGAGGCGTTGCGTCTTGCCCACAATCCAACGAGTGACTGTGTTAGCCCATTTGTATCGGAAGGGCTTATCAAGACGATTACCCGGTTATGTGCTACGTATTTCGCTCCAAGCGTGTCCGTTGACTTGGGTAAAACGGCGCCGGTAATTCAGCAAGTGTTTGCTGTCCAAAGCGGAGGCCGTGCAGTCGAGTTGTTGAATTTTCTGGTGCAGAAGGTTACTGTATACCTGCTCCACTGGCCGACACAACCGGTAGTCATGGAAAACCTGATCGAACTGTTGCTTGTTCTTTCCAACACCCGAGTCATGAGCGCCGTCCTAAGTCTACCGGTATGGCAAACACTCGTCCAAGCCAATGCGTCTGCCGGGTCGTTTGTGGCTGTATCGAACAAAACGACGCTGAATGCAGCTGTCGCAAGAGTCCCTGCCAACCTTCGTGGTCGGCTTACAGAGGCGTTGTGCCGAGCAGGAATGACATCACTTGATCAGAGCATGCGTGTGGCTCATTTCCAGGCTGTAAGTTTACCGGTTGAACAGCGACTACGACAACTCATCGCTCTACCGACGTTTGATTCTAAGCAAACGGTAAACGATGTGCACGTACAGGAGGAGCTCAAGCTGCTCATCGGGATGTATTCGGGCATCGCCCGCTCTGCAGAAGCAGCTAGCCATGCTCCTATCACAGCATTCTGTCTGCCTGCTCTACCTGTCATTGTGAAGATCTTCCTGATATTCCAAGGTGATACGCAGATTGCAAACCTCATCTTGACCTTCTTCTGTCTCATGGTGGAGGCGCAACTGTGCTATCTTTCTCCGCGTGACGCACTACAAGTATACACAGTCGTTGACGATCTTGTTCGTGCGTACTGCCGACATAATTTGGGTAAGAAGAGCATGCAAGATGGTACTGAAGAAGAGAACTATGATGATTTGTTGGCACTCCTTACACTATTGTCGCATTTGGTGTCAAAAGACTTTATCGACTTTTCGGAAGATGCAACGACTGAACAAGAGCAGAAAGATGCCAGCGGTGCTTCCAGCGTTGTAGCTGACGTGGTTTTTTCTGGGTTGAGCCAAGTGATTCCACTAATGACAGAGCAGTTGTTGACGTACCCAAGTTTGAGCAAGCAGTACTTTACACTGGTGTCGTATATGGTGGAAGTCTACGCGGAAAAGCTTTTGTCGTTGTCTAGTGACCTTTTTCAAATGCTGCTGCACTCACTGTTGGTCGGCATGCGTCATGTGTCAGTGGATGTAGTGCGCAACAGCTTTCAGGCGCTTGATGAACTAGTTAGTTACCACTGGAAGGCGCAGCAAGGCCAGAAACCGGGACTCGCTGTCCACTACCAGCAGCGTCCAGGAATGTTCATGGTGTTTCTGCGTACTATCTTCCGCATGGTGCTTTTCGAAGATTACGATCCAGTCATCCTGGACGCATGCGCTAGTCCACTGTATCCGCTCATTTTGATTGAGCAGGCTCGCTACTCTACACTGGCCGAGGAGATTGTCCACGAGCAGGAAAATCTGGACGCTACCAACCAGCAACGGCTGGCTTCCGCGTTTGTAGTGCTCATCAGTTTTCTATCGCCTGGAGATATTGCAACGGGAACGGCAACTACGCGCAAGATGCGCCGGCAGTTCAAGACAAACTTGTACGCTTTTGTTGCTGAGGTGCGGGGGTTCCTTCAGGTCAAGTGAGTGCCACGTTGACTTGGCGAATGACTAGACAAGTGCGATTGTTGACTTCGACAACCTTTTCGACAAGCGAGCTAATGCTGCTTATACCAACGGTGTCACGACCATCCACTGTATGGTGTGTGGTCCAACCTACAGCGATGTCATAGCAATACTTCAAAGTCGTGGTGAAGCCACATTTCATCTGCTACTGCTTTGGGGTCTGAGATTCAGTGAAGTCTTCCATCACCGAGCCATGATCCTACTTTGACAACCAAATACCAGATAAGACCGGTGATGCATCACTGGAGCGATGCGTTTCATGACCTACTAGGTCAGAGCTCTTCCTATGAGCACTGGATGCCTGCCTCAGTCCAAAGTGGACACGCTCTCATGGTCCTCCAGATTATTCCACACATCCGTCAGCCTTCGTCGTCCACGAAAACTGTGATCGTGTCTGCATTAAATAGCAAAGATCGTCTTCCACCAGCAGCTTGGAAAGCTTAGCGACTGAAAAAGTAGGGCATCACTTTATCAGCTTCTGGGCTTCTGAACCGCTAGACCTCGTGATCGTTCATGGCGTAGCAACTAGAATGGCCAGGCCTTGGACGTGTTAAAGTACCCCGTGTCATTTCCAGCTGGATCGTCGTTACTGCGATCTAACAGACTACCTGCAGCTGTTCGCTATACCGCAATCACCAGTACGGCAGTGCCACTGCAACAACTCAATCAGGGGCGGTACGTCTCCCACAATCGTGAACTATTCTGCTGATAGGTGAACCAGGCCACCACTATCAGCTGGAAGGACTACACGAAAGAAAGTCAAGTGCTCACCAGCTCCAAACAAACAAACGGAACATTCTGCCTTGCAAAAGGCCATGCAATTTATTTTTGCTATGGGGGAGGATTGAGATACGCTCAGCCAAATCGTCGGACTACAGGATGGGTCTCGAAACGTGACGTTCTAGAGCGATTTTCCATGCTGAACAGCGTCCACAGGCGGGTTTTCATGCTGAACAGCGTCCACGGGCGGGTTTCCATGATGAACAGCGTCCACGGGCGGGTTTCCATGCTGAACAGCATCCACGTCCCGGAAAGCATGGGGGTTATCGTGAGTGCTTGGTTCAGCCGCTGGAACGGGTTCAGGTGTCCTCGGAACTGTCACGTCCGTGGATCTGGAGCTGTGGCCGCTGAGCGTGAGCCACAGCACGACAATGACGGCGGTGAGCACGACGACGACGCCGGTGATACCAACAATACGTTTGCGTCTCTGGGCGTCTGAAGCATATTGCACGCCACGCAATGGCGTCGTCTCGCTGGTCATGATGGACGCTCGAACGTGCGGTGGAGTGCTCTTCGCGTGGACGATCTCGAAGTGAGCGATCGATATCTTTCGAGAAAAATAGCACGGCAGAGCTCAGCTGAGCGGTGGCGTATGTGAAAATAGTAGTATATAATTGACTTGTTTTGCTGGACCGAGGCTGGAGAGCGACGAATGATTTGCTGCCCTAGTGACCGCGGCGGTTTGCTCGGTGCCGCATTTCTGACCAAAAAGACTGGGAAAAATCAGGTGCTTCGTTGTACAACTGCTTCACGGCGGACACGACACCTGAGTAGAGAGGAGAGACCGAGCTCTGTGTTCGTACTACTTTACACACTGTGGTGTTGTATCAGATGACTACACTAGGTAAGAAAGAATAGGGAGGAGACTGTTGTCCAGCGAACTTTTGCGCCAGTGTAGAACTACAGAGACGTAAGCTTGTACCCGTGATCCATGCTATTGCCATTATGTTGTTGTGCTCAAACGGAGTCGTTGGCTCCTGCGTCACTTTGCTATCATCCGAATCCTACTACTGCATACTATCGAAATCGTCCTGGTTGATTGGCACGGAAGGCAAGCTGCCGCGCACGAGACTGCATGGAGCTGCTTGGACATCTTCAATAGTGCTTGCTCTAGCGAACGCAGCATTGTTTGGCTTGATTGCTTAAGGTTGTCGTAAAAATGCTGTGTAAAATAGTTACAATGACGTTCTTGGTAAACCTTCATCGCACGTGTGTGACATTGGCCTGAACAACAGCGTTGGGTCATAATTGGTTGAGCTCTGTCACTGCTACAACAGCAGCTCTGTTGACGTCTCGGTTTCCAGCAGTTTGGGGTTTTTCCCAATGATATATCACGTATAAATCATGCTCACCCTTCAGTTATTTTTTGTTTGGCGACAGCTTGAAGTCAGTGTCCGTCTCAAGGATGAGCTGTGTCGGCCTTGGTCGTGGTCCAGGCTATGGCGTCGTCTTTCAACGTCTTCACACCTCCTCGTAAGCACTTTTCTATTACAACACAACTGCTACTGCGATGCAGTCTTCTGCGTGGCCCAGACAGGAAGGACCCTGAGCTTAGATAGTCAGCTTTGACAAGTCACCGTTGGCGATGCACGCATTGCTTTCACACAAAGCGTCATAAGGCTGAATGCTGCAAGACGACAGATTCAGCCATAGAACAAGAGACATTTATCGGTAAAAAGGTTTCATCCTGAGATCGTTCGACTAGTCGACGACCCGACTACATGCAACGAACAACTTCTTGCAGCAGCTTGTGGTGAGCTTTCATCGTTCGACCACCTCATATGCTCGTAGCACAACCGGCATCCAGGACGACAACGCTTCAAAGCATCTCCTCCGGCCTTACTTCTCATCACCAATGTCTTCTTTTATATGCAAAATATCAACCAGCATACCAACCACCGGCTAAGGAATACTTGAGCCGCGTAACCTTGCCACGGTGTATTCGTGCATGCCATCCAGCTACAGCCCTTTCGGTGCTTCGTCCTTGACTGAATTGACGTTTTCACGCGTCTACGACCATTTGCACTCAAGTGAGGCACGAAGTTAAAGTGGTACCCGAATGCTCTACGCTGCGTGTGTGCACAGAAAATGGTATGCAGCTAACTACTGCGTAAACGGCACAGCTCCACGCTGGTCACGAAGCCTCAATGAGGTGGTGGTGGTGGTAAATCCACAATACATGAGCTCATTCTAGGGACGCGTTGAACATCTCCAACTGATAGGCTTCGTGTGTCCAACTCTATCTCCAACTACACGAATACATAGAATCAGTTAGCTTTGAGCTGTGGTTTGCTGTCGATTGCCATCTGTCAAATCAACGGCGGTGCATAACGTCGCACCATGCGAGCAATTCAAATGGATCGCATGCTCTAGAATGATTGCGGACAGTCCGCGTCACCCTCCACCCTCCAACATTGGCAAACGTGACGTCTTATCGCTTGGAATCATAAACCCCTTCCGGTATGTATTTCAGAGGACGCGGGGACACAGGCTAATTTTATTGTCGGGTCTCGCTGGGGCCCCGTGCGTCCGGGGCTTCTTCGATTCGCCTCTGCTAAGGTGCCACTGGAATCCATTAGCAAATACAATCCGAGTTACATAGCTCGCCTGAGCAGGGACTCGATACTGGTAGCGCACGCATCATCGCACTTCAGTGTTTCTCGTCCACCCGATGGTCCAAGGATTTCTATGATGGGTGTCCGAGACGGCGGCCAATGTAGATGTTTCAAGGTCGCTCCTACAGCGAGCGCTCCCAGGTTCATGAAAGTCTACTACGCCCAGGCCTTCAGACCTGGCCGCGTGGTTTCGACACGCAGTCAATCGAGGATAGTTGGGAAGCTGCTGTATCAAATCAAAGGCTTTCTCACCTTAAGAAACACGCCACTAGACTAAACTGCACTGAAGAGCAAAACCCAGTAGCAAGAGAGGGCGGAGACTCGTGGGTCACTACCGACAGTTGTGGCTGTAGACCTCTCGTGGCAGGCATCGCCATTTTGTGGATGATCTTGGCCATACAGCGGTGAGGAGATGCTGAGCGAAGCACTGGAAAACTAAAGGTTGGCGTAGTGCTTGGTGACATGGCGCCATCATTTTCGGACATCGTTCCGACTGACAGTCGATCGCAGTTGCAGCTATGCCACAATGCGCTCGAGATGATGGGGCTCTACTTGCGTCTGGGAGTAAAAGTTATGGCGTAAAGTTCGCACTGGGTGATCCGAAACCTTCGAGCAGAGCTGAAGAGACAGCATGCTCATGAACAGAAGGCACGGGTTTGCAATCACGTTAATCGCAGGGACCGCATTACTGTCGTTCAGCTCCTCAGTCATCACAGGATAATGAACTCCCGTATTTGAACTTAATGGCGTGATTGTATGCTATCCGCAATCGCTCGAGTACTTTTGATGACCTTGACCTTTGTGATCGTCTCGCTCTTTGTAGGGGTAATTCCATCTGGCGATCCTATGTGCAGACAAGCGCCATTCATCTCTTCATCAGGAACTGCACCACCCCACATCCACTCATACAAGTGTAGTACCAGCTGCGGTGACACGTCCAATGTTAGGCTCGTCAAGTTTTTGTTCCGATAGAAATGGGTGGGGGCGCGAGCAGAATCGCGGTTGCCGTCGACTACTAATTGCGTACTTGGAGCTTCACTTGACGCAGAAGACGGTGTTATGTACTGCTCATATCTACCATCTGTGAAATCGACAGCAAATATCACGACTCAAAAAAATAAATGATTCTATGTATTTGTGTACTTCGAGATAGAGTTGGACACAAGTAGTCTAACACTTGGAGATGCCTAACGCGTCCCCTAATTCTAGGGATGCAAGCCAAAGACCCGGCCAAATCCCTCTCTTTACTGCCATTTCATCCCTTTCTACGCAAAAGTCAGTTAAACTGCAGGTTCGTCTCGCTTTCTTACGACGACACGACGTCATTTATTGACTGGTCCACAGAGCCCGAACATCTTTATCAGAGACCGCGAGTGGATCCAATGTCGTCACCGCCCGTGAACCTCGACGCCCCTCGCTATGACCAAAGCACATACGTCGGCCGTGCGAAGCACTTCCTAGCTACCACGAACCCGCTCAATGTACTGGCCACGGACACCCAGCTCGATGCTGCCAAGAAGCTCGTGGAGGAGTACAAGGCAGGGCAGCACATGCACTTGAGCGAGGACGACGTGTGGCGTGCTAAGCAGCTCGTGGACAGCGCGTTTCACCCCGACACAGGCGAGAAGAACCTGCTCATTGGACGCATGGCCTTCCAGGTGCCGGGGAACATGGTCATCACTGGCTGCATGATGACGTTCTACCGCTCGACACCCGCCGTCATCTTCTGGCAGTTTATGAACCAAACGTTCAATTCCATCGTCAACTACACAAACCGCAACGCCAGCACAGGTGTGAGTCAGGAACAGCTGCTGCAGGCCTATGCTGCAGCTAGTACGGCCTCTGTGGCTACAGCGCTGGGTCTCAACAGATGGGTGTCCAAGCGCCCAAAGCTCAGCAACGGCATTGTCGGTCGTCTCGTGCCCCTCGTGGCTGTTGCTGCTGCCAACTGCGTCAACATCCCGTTGATGCGACAGCGCGAGCTGCTGGGCGGTATTGAAGTGGAGACAGCAGATGGCGAAAAGGTTGGCAAGAGCAAGCGTGCAGCAGTCGAAGCTGTGGCTCAGGTGGTCCCGTCGCGCATTCTCATGGCAATGCCCGGTATGTTCTTCCCGCCAGTCATCATGACCCAGCTGGAGCAGCGCCCGCTCTTCCGCAACAACAAGGTGGCGAACGCGCTTACCATGGTCGGACTCACCGGTGTGTGTCTGTGCTTCTCGACGCCACTGTGCTGCGCCCTGTTCCCACAGCGCAGCTCTATAGCTGTATCTTCACTCGAGCCCGAGTTGCAAGAGAAGATCCATCAGCGCACGTTCAAGCAGTACTCGGATCGCAAAAACCCTGTCACGCACGTCTTTTACAACAAGGGATTGTGAGAACAGCCGCTGACTACTGAAAGTTGAGAAAGCAGCGTAGTGGCAGCTAGTCGACTCTAGAGCATAAATCTTGACGTCTCCGCTTCAACGACGTTTATTCAAGAGCAGCATCTGTCAGTGGAGAAAAAAACTATACCAATACACAACCGCAGTGCAGACAACAACTTCATCTTCGCGACGAGTTGTTGCAGTAAAAAAGCGCGTTCAGCCAGTAGCTAAACCGCCACGTCCCTTCTCATCACTCGACATGCAGTCAAGTATCCTTTTCAACTGATTTAGCAGCAACCAGAGCTTCCAACGCGATCGCGTGGAATCAGACGCAGCTCCGAGCCATGCTTCAGGAAGACGTTGCCAGCGCTCTGTGCCGGATTGATGCCAATACCATCTGCAAGCATACCCAGTCAAAAAAGTGGTCAGTTTTCCCGTGTTCCTTAATCTGCCAGTATTTCAACTTTGTAGCCATGTACCGTTCGTGATGATCGCGCTTGTAGCTGCCGGCACGTGGAACTAAAGTAAAAAAACAAAGAGACACGAAATCGAGCATATCTCGGTCAGTAACTTACTGAAAGACGTCATATTTGAGCGTAGTTTTTCAACATAAATTACCTCTTCTGCGACATACTTGAGCACAGCTGTGAACGGAGCTTGTTCCGGTACATTGACCCTACAAACAAGAAAAAGTAAATTACCATGACAAACAAAATATGAATTTTATAACAAGAAGAAGAAATAAAATACGTACACGCGGTACGGTAGCTTTGGGTCCGACGTGAGCGTGACTTTGAACGTGACTTTTGCAGCCCTGATGTAGACAATCGATTAGCATTAGACGAGTAATGACTTTTCTGTTATCATCGGACAATAGAACTACAGGTGCCACGTACATTCTGCTGTCGCTTTAATGGACAGGTGAGGGAAAAAGTGACTTTTCAAGATGGATCAGGTAAGGAAAAAAGTGACTTTTTCGCTGTTCGGCGGGTATTGCGATCGCGTCTTTTATTTTGCAAGCTGAAACGTAATGAACCCCGTTTAGCAGCCACCTTTTTTTTTCTTGAGGTTTTATTGCAAAACGGCCAAAGTCGATTGATTGCAGGAAGTGTCGAGCAATAATTTTGCTCAAACCTGACAGACACAAAAAAGTGGTGGAGATGCTACAAATACCCAAACGTCACACGTTACCAAGCGTGGTCCACATTGTTTACCACCAACCGTTTGATCATTGAACATCAGGATCCAGCAGCTTTTCAGATCGTCTCGTTCTTCAGGAACTTGTTCAGCATATCGAGCGCCACTGCCGGCTGATCTTGCGGCACCATGTGGCCCGAGTTGAACACGCGCAGGAACGTCAACTGGTTGTTGAACGACCGCGAGATGCCCCCGTTCGTGCCATCGCTCGTCGTGTACACCGTCTCAGATGCCGCATTGAATCCGACTTTGCCCTTCCAGTCAAGCGCCAACGTCCACGCCTGGTTACCGTACCAATTGCACACCAAATCCGCGTCACCCGCATAAATGAGCACGCGCAGGTCGTCATTGAGCAGATCACTGACGTAAGTGTTGAATGGCTTGACGATGTCGGCCGTCATGTAGAAAGCCACGTTCACCTCCATGTTGCACTCTTGCCAGGCACCTGCATGCTTCGAGTCGACGCCGAGGGAGTCGCGCACATTGGGAGCGTCCAAGTACTTGGAGACGGCTGAAATGTCGTAGCACTTGGTCGGATCGTCCACGCGCGTGCAAGGCATGCGGATGTCGTACGGGTTCCGATTGGCAGTCAAGAGCGGTGCAAACAGTCGGTCCGTGCAGAACTCGATGCCGTCGAAGCACGCCGTCGCATTTCGCGGACACTGGGCCAAGATGGCCCCGCACACAGGCGCATCAGCTTTCATTTGAGCGAGCTGCGAGTCGTCCACGAGTTTGATGTCATACGCGTTCTTCTCGGCCATGTCCACGTAGTGCGGCGCCTGAATCGCCGCTTGAGTGAGCCCGTTCCCGATCGCAATACCCTTGAGGTTGAAGTGCTGTGGGGTGCCTGCATTCACCTTGTTCTGCTCCCACACGTAGTGTGCAGCCACCGGCACATAGTGTCCGCCGTAGCTCTCCCCTGTGATGTAAAAGTCACGACCTGCCAGCTCCGGGTGTTTCGCCAAGAACCCCTGGAGGAAGTAAAAGATGTTCTCGCCCACGGTATCCTCGCTATTGTCCAGGTCGCGCTCGTCGCCGTACGTGAAGCCCACGGCCGTGGGTTGATCCAGCCACACGACGTTGCTCTCGTTCGTCCACGAGTACGGATTCAGTCGAGTCGACAAGTCTGGAAGCACGTGACACGGTCCGTTCTCTACGAGCAGAGCCATCATACTGGAACAACCAGGTCCTCCTGTGAGCCACAGCACGAGTGGATCCGTGCTCGGGTCGCTGCGGGACTCAAAGTACCAGTAAAAGTAGTGGTCATCGACTGTATTCGGCAGCTTGACGTAGCCCGAATCCTGCGTCGCGAGTCCACAAAAGACCGACTCGTTTGTTGTCTTGAGCACGGGTACGCCTTCCGGTAAACCATTTCCTTTGCCTCGAACAAGTGGCTCCACAATGTACACAATCATCAGGCATAGGCCGACCAACGACACTACAGCGATCAAAACACGGCGAAAGTTGCGGTTGCGAGTCTCTAGCCGTTCATAATGCTGCAGACTGAAGCTTTGCGTCAACGGAGTTGTCTCCGACGCCATGCTCACTCACAATGATCAACGATAATCAACCACGAAACCCCACAAATCAACTACAACTGAAGGAATCCAAAAGTGCTCTCGACACGTACAAACCACTTATCACGATTGAAGATATTCTTCCACTCGCTCGAACTGATTCCTTCCCACTTGACAACGCATTCGTTGTCGGCCAACCATAGTAAACCCACAAGACTCGAGTCATTGTGCCCTTGCTGACTACCAATCATATCGCCAGCTATCACGAGCGTCCGACTGTTCCCAAACTTTCCACATCCGACCCAAGTCCGTCCAAGCTTGAACTCTAGAAATCGGCAGCTGCTTTACGGCGACACCCCGTCCCTTGTAATCGAAGCTACAAAAGACAAAAAGAGGGTGTCTGGGGCATGCTAATGAGGTAGTGACGACGGACTACACCAACAGTCAGTCAGTCACCCAGGGGTGAGTTCGTGCTGTTGCAAGTAGGGCGACCCTTGAATAAAGGGTGTGCCTAATACTGCACGGACCTAGGAATTCGGTAGGAGGTAGGTAGGTTGACCTAAATGACATTAACACACATGCACCTCACGGGCTCAAAAGCGTCCGACGATTTGTCCGACCATCTGAAGTCGATGTCCGCCCAACTGGTCAGTCTCTGCATCTCTGACGCGATTCCCCCTCCTCTTCCTCCCCCTCCTCTTCCTCGTCTGTGCTTATTCTACAACGCGACACCCTTCAGTATCGCCACTAAACGCGACAACCCCAAGGGTCTACGCCAATGCCATCCGAAGCAACTCCACTGCAACTGCGGTCTTCGTCTTTGCAGTTGAATCTGCGCGTCTGGAGACGAGAGGAAGCTCAGAAGCGCAACCTCAAGCGTGGAGGCATTTTCCTCCTCGTTCTCTGTGCCTTCAGTCTCTTCATCACGTACACAGCAGGACCTCCAGTTGACCCCAAGAGCACGGCACCAGCTTCAGTACAAACGACGCACGCTGTGACCAAAGCCACGTCGGTCAACAGCACGACACCAACGACGAACGAGTCGGTCTTTTGTGGACTCACGACGCAGGATTCGGGCTACGTCAAGCTGCCGAATACAGTCGATGACCACTACTTTTACTGGTACTTTGAGTCCCGCAGCGACCCGAGCACGGATCCACTCGTGCTGTGGCTCACAGGAGGACCTGGTTGTTCCAGTATGATGGCTCTGCTCGTAGAGAACGGACCGTGTCACGTGCTTCCAGACTTGTCGACTCGACTGAATCCGTACTCGTGGACGAACGAGAGCAACGTCGTGTGGCTGGATCAACCCACGGCCGTGGGCTTCACGTACGGCGACGAGCGCGACCTGGACAATAGCGAGGATACCGTGGGCGAGAACATCTTTTACTTCCTCCAGGGGTTCTTGGCGAAACACCCGGAGCTGGCAGGTCGTGACTTTTACATCACAGGGGAGAGCTACGGCGGACACTATGTGCCGGTGGCTGCACACTACGTGTGGGAGCAGAACAAGGTGAATGCAGGCACCCCACAGCACATTAACCTCAAGGGTATTGCGATCGGGAACGGGCTCACTCAAGCGGCGATTCAGGCGCCGCACTACGTGGACATGGCCGAGAAGAACGCGTATGACATCAAACTCGTGGACGACTCGCAGCTCGCTCAAATGAAAGCTGATGCGCCTGTGTGCGGGGCCATCTTGGCCCAGTGTCCGCGAAATGCGACGGCGTGCTTCGACGGCATCGAGTTCTGCACGGACCGACTGTTTGCACCGCTCTTGACTGCCAATCGGAACCCGTACGACATCCGCATGCCTTGCACGCGCGTGGACGATCCGACCAAGTGCTACGACATTTCAGCCGTCTCCAAGTACTTGGACGCTCCCAATGTGCGCGACTCCCTCGGCGTCAACTCGAAGCATGCAGGTGCCTGGCAAGAGTGCAACATGGAGGTGAACGTGGCTTTCTACATGACGGCCGACATCGTCAAGCCATTCAACACTTACGTCAGTGATCTGCTCAACGACGACCTGCGCGTGCTCATTTATGCGGGTGACGCGGATTTGGTGTGCAATTGGTACGGTAACCAGGCGTGGACGTTGGCGCTTGACTGGAAGGGCAAAGTCGGATTCAATGCGGCATCTGAGACGGTGTACACGACGAGCGATGGCACGAACGGGGGCATCTCGCGGTCGTTCAACAACCAGTTGACGTTCCTGCGCGTGTTCAACTCGGGCCACATGGTGCCGCAAGATCAGCCGGCAGTGGCGCTCGATATGCTGAACAAGTTCCTGAAGAACGAGACGATCTGATTGTTCTCAAGGTCGTGTAGATAAACACCCGGGAAGTGGCAAAAGCTCCTGAAGTCCATTTGTTGCAGTACGTGTTTTACTTGCTCATAGCATCTTGCAGCATGCATCCATGTTGAAGTCATGAATGACTAGAGCCCCCTAAATTCTTGTCCGCCATAACTTGGAATCGCATAGTAGAAGTCTCGATCGTGCAAGTTGCGGTGGCGTTGCAGCATGAGGGTACGAACCCCAACTTCATGTCGTCATTCAGCTGCGGTATACCTACATACATGTGTGTAAATGGTAAAGAATTGAAAGCAAGACACTCACGACCATTTTCTGGAATGCCGTGACCAGTGCGGTCTTCATACATGAGCGTGCCGACACAAATACCGCTCTAGATGTCGAAAACATGTGGCGGTAATTGACTTCGATCAGACAAAGCAAGCTGGACGAAAACTATAGATCACTCGATGAATCGTGGTATGTGTAGACTGGTGCACGTTAACTGAGATTGGTAGTGTATTTTCCTAATCTTTACAGCTAAAGTTGTTGGATCAAACACATCGATACGGCAGGAGTTGTTATCTCACATCGAGTTCAACGTTGCCTATCACAATACTATCAACATGTTGATGCTGTACATTGACACTATCACACGAGACTCGAATGGACGTACATGGGGTGGACTAACCACGGGATCCTTAAAAATCGTGACCGCCGTAATCTTGATGGACGTTTTTGCTGCCTTGACGGTCGACAGCGACTAGTCTCGGGCATATATGTTTACACTTCAGCTGGACTGGATCTGCCTCCCAGTAAAGGTTCGGCAAGATGGTTGTCATCGTTGTCCAAATTTGCATAACTCGCATCCAGTTCACCTTCATCTGTTGCATCATCGTCGGTCTCGAAGTAGACGGAGGAAGAGGAGAGGGAATCACCACGTGTCGGTGACGGCAAAGCGTCAGGAACAGCAGGGAGTTTTCGGGTGGAAGGAAGCTTGCTAACGGGTAACGACAGGGCCATCCCGACCCCGAGAACATAGATGGATGCAGCCACCACGTACGGGAGTGCCTGAGTCCAACGCGATTGCCGCTTCATAGAAGCATACAAAGAAGAGAAAATGATGGGGCCAAGTGCGGCAAAGACCGATCGCGCACCGTAGATTGCGCCTTGCAGTCGTCCTTGTTCCTGCAATGCAAACCAAAGCTGTGAGAAGTATGATCGGGCAGTGGTCAATTACGACACAATGCGAACCTTGTCTGACACGTTGATCGACTTGAGAGCTGCGATGGCTGGAAAGGATAGGTCGCTGAGAAGGCCAGGCATGCACGACGCGTAGACTACCCATTTGTGTGAATAGAATGCAGTTCCAGCAAAGCCAGCCAGATTCACCCAAGTGGCGATCATCGAAATGATGATCACTCCTTTCTCCTTGAAACAGCTTACCAAGGGCTGGAGCAATAAACCTTGCCCCAGCAAAGCTAATGCACCCCCAAGAAGCCGCATCATACCAAAATTCTTGACGTCAAATCCTACGATAGTCTGGAAAGTAACGAAAAAGTAGTTAGTGTGTGAGCGTGATGGACGGATGATGCAGGGTTGATGTCTGACCTTACATTCAAGTAGAACGGCTCGATCTGGGAAATCCCGTTCGTTACAAAGCTCGTGAGCGCAATCAAACACGTCAAGCGCATGAACAACTTGTTTCGAACAAGGATCGACATCGAGCTAATGGGACTTTCCAGAACCCATCGTATCTTGCTCATACGCTCTCGAGTGGGCAGTGTCTCGGGCAGAATAATCATTGCCCAGAGAACCCGTGCCACGAATAAAGCAGCAGTTATCTGCAAGATGTGCTCCTGCCCATAGCAAAATATCGTTATTTACAGGGAAATCCATGCCCCGTTTTGCAGACCCAATTTGCACTCACTCGGGAGAATAGCGACGCGATAAAGGCACTAGTACTATAGCCAACGGAGAGGCTCGCAAAAAGGACTCCGAAAGCTGCCGCACGATTTTCAGGTGTGACAACATCGGCAACAGCGGCGCTGAGAACACCAGCAGTCCTACACCACGACAACGTCTTAGCAAATCAATACTGTCGACCTTACTAAAATCGAAGGGACCCACCCGAAACCATGATCGACTAGCCTTAGAACAAAGTACGGAACAATGGAGCCTGCCGGGTGCATCATATACATGACGAAGAATGGTGTGCCAACCCTGGCAATCTGACTTAGCACCAGAAACGGCTAATCAAACACCACAAATAATGTGCATTGATATTAATAATAACGCCAGCATATACACACAAAGAAAACGCTCCTTGAAGCACAGACTAACCTTGCGTCCATAGACATCGGAAGCTTGACCGAGCACTGGCGCGAGAATGAAATTCACCACCGACCCTGTAGCCGAGAAGAGACTGTCAAGTGAGAAATAAAAAAACAGCTGCGAGGGTCAGCTTGCTCCATTATCACAGACACACGCCTTCTTTGCCAAAAGCGACTCTTACCTCGAGAACCAGGCAGCCTCCTGCGATCCTTTGATACAAGCCTAGAAATGTCTTGTCAGCATCCTTTTTTTACCGCACAAATGCATGCAATCTGTAGAGTAGAACGCCTACCTCGTTGCGGGACTCAGCTCCGCAGTCAATTGGCATGCCATCTCGATGCAACCTGGCAAAGTACTAGGAAAAGTCACAAAGTCAAACGCATCAAAAAGGCCCTTTTCACTTTATAGCCTATACATTTTCCATGATCAAATTCACTGAAGTAATTAACAAAACGAGACTGTACGGACTTCAGTTAGGATAATTGAGATAATGGGACTCATAAAGCCGAAAGCTGCTGCCGTAAGGAACTGAAGACCCACAATGGCGCCAAAACTTCGCGACAAACTGCGTTCTTCTGGCAACTTGCACGTAAGTTGTGTCTTATTATCGGTGCCAACCGGTTTCTCCATTGCACCTCTGGATCCAGCTCAGAGAGTCTCAATCAGAAGAAGAACAAATACAAAAGCTGCTCGACTCGACGGGATATGCTCTTTTCGAACTCCCGACTTGTGCCTTCGAGTCGAAACCGTCATAGCTCGAATATGTGTGTCCACTTTCGCACACTTGAACCCAAATCGGTTGACCCATTTTTCCGTGCTAATTTTATTTTATGACTACCATGTCGTTCACGAACCAAGTACTCCGGCGTATTCCACACGACGCTTCCCTCGAGCATATTGTAGCTGGAGTTACAAGCAGCTTTGTCGCAATTTTATTGGTCATAGTCAGTGGTATCTACCACATATACGGGTCAACTGGAGTTGTCGTTGCGGTTATTGCGCTGCTTGGATTAGGTCTCCGTTGGATCTACTGGAACGGAAGGGGTGTATTCGGCTGGACCAATGCTTGGCTACGCAATTCGAACGCATTGATCCGTTCATTGGCCAGTCCAGTCCAATTGAAAGGGACGCTACGTGTGGTCTGTATCTCTGATACCCATGCAAAGCACCGTGAGCTCATGGACATTCCAAGTGGAGACGTGCTGCTGCATTGTGGAGACTTTACAGACCGAGGGACTCACGAGGAGATCCGTGACTTTAATGACTGGCTCGGAATGCTGCCACATCAACACAAAGTGGTTATTGCAGGCAACCACGACGTCTGTATGGATGCCGTCGAGTACAACTTGCATTGGGACAAGGCGTTCGCCCACAAGCAGTACAACAACCCTCGTCTCTCTCGAGCGCTGCTTGCCAATTGCACGTACTTGGAAGACCGCTCGGTTGTGATTCAAGGCACTAAGATCTTTGGCTCTCCTATGACACCACCCATTCCTGGGCGTCCGGGCGCATTTAATGTGGCTCGAGGCTTTGCCGACCAGCAGCACTGGGCCAAGGTACCGGCTGATGTCGATCTCTTGGTGACGCACGGACCGCCTCACGGCATTTTGGACACGACGTTCACTGGGATGCATGTAGGCAGCGCGACGCTGTTGAAGGAGGTTGTGTCTCGAGTTCGACCCCGTTTCCATGTTTTCGGACACATCCATGAAGCGTACGGAGCGACCCGTGTAGGAGGCACGGTCTTTGTCAATGCTGCCAGCAACACGTTGTTCGCTGAACCTCTTCACTCGCCTGTAGTACTCGACATTCCCCTCAAATGCTAGTTTTGCTGTCTCACTTGCTTTAGTTTGGCTATTCTGTGGCTACTCCACTGCCTGTCTGAATGAACTGCTGACGACAACAGTTATTCATACCATGTCAAGATCGCATGGTCGCACTTTTGCAATCAGGATGTGGCTACATCTCTTGTCGAACGACATAGCAGTGAAGGCAGACTGAACTTGTTTGTTTGCACTTTAGTTGAGCTTGTCTCAATGATGAGGTGTGTATCCTCGGCTTTCTAGTAGTGTTGACAAAATCGGTTGCGGGACGTGTACATTGATCAAAACGGATCAGACAAACCTCTGTAACGACACGGCCGAGCCATCTTTACTGACGCAGGGTCAGCTTTCTCAAACACTTACAATACATTTGTCGAAGTCCAAGACTTTACCATAGATTATTGCTACCTTCGATGATACACGTACAGGAAAAAGCATTGTGTAGTTCCTGTCTATAGTACTGCAACTAGATTCAGCAATCAGGCGTCTGTGCGATTCCGGAGCTTACACTGGACTCTGATCTGCGTCTACCGATGTAAGCTTTTTGTTACGATTGCATGGTCCATAAATTCTGTGAAAATCAGCTACAGACGTATGTTTGCTTAGTAAACTTGTCCTGCATACTCGGGACAGCAGCTAAGACATCGAGATGTCATGCCCACTTCAGCACTTTCGAGTGTAATGAAATGAAGGCGCCGCCAATAATTGCTCTTCAAGCTCAATACGGTAGTGCGCAAACCAGAAAATGACATTGTGACAGAGTCGTTGCTAATCAGTGTCCGTCAACTTTCGCATACAGCCATTTGAGCTGACATTTGGTATGAAGCTGCGATTCAGAGAGCCCACCACGGACCCTTCCGCCACATACAAGGCACTCTTCTAGGCACAATTCATGGACGTGATTCGGGCAGACAGGAATTGTCTAGTGTCAGATGAGATGCTGGATCTTAAGATTTGGAGTCTACCGTTCGAATTCTGCTCTGTCTTACCTACATTTTAGCGAGGGTATCTACGAGTCGCTCAACCGGCAACGCATAACGATCAACCTAGTTGCAAGAGACGCCAGTCTACACGTGCAGATAACATGCAACACTTCAAATCTGTTTGCCTTCAGTAGGATCAATTGGAAAATAAAAGATTTCATCAAGTTTGATCAGGAGAGAACTGATCATCATCAGCAAACAGACCATATAGTGCAAATATAAACATGCACACTCACGCAAAGGACGCTGTGTGGAGCGAACTGCATCGGGAACTTCTTGGTTGTCGGGAGTGCCTCAGACTGACGTGCAAATATATCAGAGATTGATTTCCACCATTGTATCGTTGGTTCATGCGAATTTTGCTTCATCGGCACTCCGTACAACCCAAACGTTTCCCGGCGAGATGCCATGAAGTTCCTGGAGCAGCAGAGAAAGAAACAAAAACTCGTAAAGTATGGCACTCACCAAATGAGCTGCAAGACATCATCCCAGCTAAACGGGTGTATTACAATGGCTCAACCCAAAGGGAGCATGCAGCATAAACCGATCAGTAACCAGTACAACTTGCACCAAACCTGATCAGTCCATCTACTTGAGCGGGATGAAACGCGACGAGTTCGTTGCGCCAATACCTGGGCGACCGTGGGTCACCGGCTTGTACGAAATGGCAAACTCACCAAGGTAGTGACCGATCATCTCAGGCTGCAAATACGATGCATGCAAAATTGTCAGATACCACCTTATTCCTTCTCCAACAAAAGCTAACGGAGAAGAATATCGTATCGCACAAGCAAGCACATGTAAAGTCTCTCTGGGTCGCCCCATACACAGAACGTCGGCAAGAGGATGGCAGCCGGGTGTACCACGCCAACAGCATAGTGCACCACTCTTCGGGTTGTAAGCCAGCACATCCTCCGAGAGCACGCGAGCAGTTCTGGACACATACCTTGATTTCAATGCCGTTGAACTCCTTGCCGTTGTACACACCAACCACCGAGCCAATCATCTCCGGCACGATAATCATGTTACGCAGGTGCGTCTTGATACCCTCCGGACGCTCCATGGGCCTAGCAGCAGCCTTGGCCTTACGCAGACGCTTGATCAGAGCCATTGGCTTGCGCTTGAGACCGCGCGAGAAGCGACGACGGGCACGAGCGTTCACGAGATCCATGAGCTCTTCATGGTTCAAATCCAGTAGCTTGTCCAGGTCCACGCCACGGTAGCTGAACTTGCGGAACGTGCGCTTCTTGCGCAGAGCAGCGAGCTCTAGGTTCTTGTCCTCCACGGATTGGTCAGCCATTGTTTCCAGTAATACGAGTCTCCACAGAGTCGGCTGGGTATTGCGGTCGACACGATCGCCTGGTTGGAACGACGATTGACTGGCGCAGAGACGATCGCGTAATTACAGCCGACAACGGTTGTTTTTACAGCTTTTAAGAAGTAGTGACACTAGACATACGTCACCGAAACGACAATACGTCACAGTTTCGTAAGAAGGGGTACGTCGATCGGGTTACGCCGGTACGAAGCGATAAAATGTACGTGGACCTGAACGTACGTGCAACTGCGCGCGTGTCAACGCGCGAACTACAGCGGCGTACGTGGAGCATGTAACATGCTATAACAGTGCGATGTGTATTAGACATAGTGTGTTGATGAGAGTGGCGTTGGCGTTTTGTTACTGTGGGTGTTGTTGCTGTTGCAGTGGGTTACGCTTGCGTGTGTGTTAATGTAACCTGTGAAGGATCGGAAAAGCCCAAGGCCGTAACAGCATTCCCGGACTTAGCTCAATCTGTGCCCAAGGAGAAGAATAGCAAGACGCCGAAGAAGGCCAAGCTCTACACGGCCGCAATCGGGAACGGACTGCAGTTGAAGGACACGGGTATCAAAGACTCGAAGGAGCTGCCAAGACAGCGCAAGCGCATCACGTTTAAGCTTGAGGAAGTAGCAGACGCACAAAGGCTGGTGCGTAAGGCTGATAGTGACTGCGACGATTGCTGGAAAGCTCGAGACCTTGGCTATTTGTTGCTGTCCTGCTGACGCTGGATGTGTCGAACAGCTTCGAGTGGATGTGGTCAAGGGTTACGATGTTGTCGCAGTCGAAGCGATGACGCTGAAGGTCTTTCAGTTTCTGTGCGAACAGGCTGACATTGACCTGATCACGTTCGATGTGACGAACCGGATACCGTTCCAGATGAAGCGTCCATTGGTTCGAGCTGCTCTTCTCATCGTTGTTCCTTGTACTTTGGGGTTTGCCGATTGATGCCCGTGCTCACATTGTGACTGTTGCTGCTGCTGCATTGGTTTTGTTGCGATGCGTTACGCAGATTGCGGCTGCTATCAAGCGCGGGATATATTTTGAGATCACATACGTGCCGTGCTTGGGTGATAGCGCTGGGCGAAGGTACTTCTTCTCCAACGCAAGCAACCTGGTGCGCCTCACAGGCGGTAGAAATCTGGTATTCTCTAGTGGTGCCACACGCGACATTCTGCTTCGTTCGCCTTACGACGTCATTAACATTGGCCTCTTGTCAGGGCTCAAGCATGGTCAAGCTCGTGATGCGATTTCCACCTCGTGCTTGGCGGTGCTGGAACATGCAGATCGGCGCCGAGGAGTTGTTGGAGGAGTCCAGGTCCAAGACACTACGAGCACAGCCATGGAATTGAGCTGAGCTGTCTCGTCGGCATATACACAGCAGCACCTCAGCCTGACCATCCCATGATCTATCACTGCTCCATTGCCTCGTCATCTTCATCTTCCGTCTTCCCCTCACGTGCCGTTTGACTACCATGTACTCGTCCAACCGCGGCTTTGTCTTGCGCAGCATCGTTCGCCACGCTTTCGTCGGCATCGCCGCTGTCGTGCTCGTCAATATCCAACGGCTCGTCCGTCGGCATCCCATCTTCCTCAGCGTCCTCCTCTTCACCGTTCGTGTCGATCGCCACTTCATCGAGCTGTGCTGCCACTTCACTCGTCGTCTCAGCTCCGTCCTCTACCTCCATCATATCCTCCTGATGCTCCCGCTTCTTGTTTGCCGCTGCTTTTGTCTCTACAGCAACAGGAACCTGTCAGAAAAACATCTCCATCCTCATCTCAAACCCCCAACCGTCGCGAACCTCGTACACACGCCTCAATGGGCTCGAGAAAGTGCTCGAAATCAGCGTCTTGTAGCGTCTGCAGCACGTCTTTCAACATAATGGTACTGCGCTTGTTGTCCACTGCCGTCTCGTGCGCGCTGCACGTCAAATACACAGAACATAGGAGATATGCCCCCCCACCATCATCATCAGCTTCAATAGTCTCCAGTATGTGCCCTTCAGAAGCAGCAACAGACGTACAGAGACGCCAAATACAGCGTAAAGACGCTCGTCGCCGAGTTCAGAGTCTTTTGCGCCTCTCTCGTCACGATCGCGCGGTCTGGCAGCGCCTTCTTCACCGCCCGCGCCGTCAAGCTCGCGGCGTGTTCGTGCTCCATTTTACGATAACGTACCCTGATCGGTTACACGCTTGCATGCGTACCTGAGTGGCCCACAGGCGATTGCGTACCTAATCCGTACCTCCACGTACCCTGGTTACACACCGATGCGTACTTCGGGGTACAAAAACCACGTGCGTCGGTCTCATTTCCAATGGCCAGCAGCGTGACGGCCGCGGAGCTCGCGGCGTGTGTCGCGACGCTGCAGAAGCTGCACGAAGACGAGGCGCACGAGCTGTTCCAGTCGTCGCCGCTGTTCAAGCCGCTACGGACAGCGCTGGTCCCGCTTATTTCCGATTTACGAGCCAAGTTCTACCATGGAAACTCGTCCGCTACGGACTCGTCTCGACAGCAGCGAAAACGCGCCAAGAAAGTCGAGCGAGCGCGGGCAAAGGCGCTGGACCAGCAATTTGTGAACAAAACGAAGTTGCGGGCCGAGCGACTCGCGCGATTGGCGGATTTACAGACGCAGAATCCGCTGCTGGTGCACGTCCCTGACGGCGTCGCAAGAGCTGATGGACGGCCGCTGCTTTTGAAGGAGAAAAGAGACCAGGAGATGGATGTGGAGAAGGAAAAGGGACAGGAGATGAGGCGGTTGCACTACCATCGAGCGTGTTACACGTGCAAAGTCCGGTTTCGGCAGCTGCACCACTTTTACGACCGATTATGTCCGTCGTGTGCCGATCTGAATTACAAGAAGCGACTGCAAAGTGCAGACTTGTATGGGTACATTGCAGTTGTTACCGGTGCACGAGTGAAGATTGGGTACGAGATTACGCTCAAGCTGCTGCGAAGTGGGGCGAAGGTTATCGCGACCACGCGGTTTCCAAACGATGCGGCACTTCGCTATGCTAAGGAAAAGGACTTTGACGGCTGGAAGGACCGGCTGCAGGTTTACGGCATGGACTTTCGTGATTTGGGGGTGATCGACAAGTTCATGGACCATATGGAGCGAACGTATGGGAAGCTGGATATTCTGGTCAATAACGCGACGCAAACGATTCGGAGACCCGTGCATTACTATCAACATTTGATCGAGCGGGAGATGAAGCCGATTCAGGATGATATGGCTCATGTGAGGCAGGTTTTGCAGGGCAATGCGAATCTTCTGGGTACCGGTAGTGCTGCTATGAATGTGAAAAGTGGCGACGGTGCTGTCAACAGCGCCGCGATCGTCAGCACGAGCGGCGGATCTTCGTCAGCGATATCTACGTCCACTCCTTCTTCCGTGTACCTCTCACAGATGCCACTTGTTGCTGAGGACCAGCAGTCCGAAGAAACGGAGGCTTTGTTCCCCAAGGGCCAGGTAGACCACAACCAGCAGCAAGTGGATTTGCGCAGCTCAAACTCGTGGGTGCAAGACATTAACCAGGTCGAGACCATCGGTTAGTAGTCCATGTGACGGTGTACTGGGTATCATTCAAGGGGTTGTTGCTGACGTTTTGTGCTCCTGCAGAGCTGGTGGAAGTGTTTGCTATCAATACGATGGCACCGTTCATCCTGAACAAGCGTGCTATTCCTCTCCTCGAAAAGGTACACAAAGCATTTGTACCAGCAAATGTACGTCACCTCTTTTGACACGGTGAATCTCTTTTCCGTTTATCTAGAGCTCGAATGCACGCCGCTTTATCTTAAACGTCAGTGCGATGGAAGGCAAGTTCTACCGGAACAAGACGCCGAACCATCCGCACACCAACATGGCCAAGGCAGCAGCAAATATGATGACGAGAACGTGTGCGGGGGACCTTGCGCGCAAAGGCATCTACATGAACAGTGTTGACACGGTACAGGGTATCTAAGATTGACCTTCGAGCAATTGCATGTCACGCACTCATTTGTGTTGTCCTGTTGTGTACGAATTAGGGCTGGATCAACGACGAGAACCCGCGGGATGTGGCCGCTCGGATTGCGGATACCCACAACTTCCAGACGCCTCTTGATGAGATCGATGCGGCTGCTCGTGTACTTGACCCGGTCTTTGTATTGTTTCAAGATGGCAACACTGACAAACCTCTGTATGGCCAATTCCTGAAGGACTATACGATCTCAGAGTGGTAGGTGGTACTATCGGGTCATCTGCACCGGATCTAGCTGTCACTACTATCGATCATTAATTTTTAAAAGGTTTTGATAGTTGAAATTGAAAATTCTCCTAAACCTGTCGCTTCTTGTGCTACCAATATAAGCAAAAAAAAGTAAATGAAGATCTGCAAATACTTTAATGACGGTTCGAACCCGTCTCTAGCATACTTCAGTTTTTAAGACTGACACCTTATACCACTTCAGTTTTCAAGACTGACACCTTAAGCCACTCGATCACCCATTAGCCTCTCGTAAATTTTTCATTAGATTTTAAAAAATTTACCAAAATTTTTTTAATTGAATACTAATCAGGTCCAAGATTCTGGAAACTTTGTTTTAATTAAGCTTTTTCATTATTATTAGCAGGTTTATTATTTATGTATATAGCCAATATTCATATTTTTTCAACTGTGGGTAAATCATGGGTTTATGCCTCTTGTAGTAAAAGCAGTATCATTAGAAGATTTTTAACCTGGTTAAAAAACTAAAATTGATTTTAATTGTGTTTTTAATATAAAACTATTCTTTGGTTTTTTTTAAACTGTCTATTTAAAAAATATTGGTGATTTTTCTTTAATAAAGTTTAAAATATCAACAGAATAAATATCGATTGCTAAAAAATAATAATAATAATCCTTTATAAATTTTGTGGTTAAAAGCCTTAAATATAATTAATGAAAAATTAATGACATACGTATTATATGAATTCGTTCTTTTTTTGCAACTCTGACGGTCCTAAGGTAGTGAAATCTTGTCGGGTAAGTTCCGACCTGCACGATAAGGTTTATTCGTACCATCAGAAATTAAATGTTGAGATGAATATAAATGAACTAATGTTGAAACACTTGTAATAACATCAAGCATTATTATAGTTAAACTAACAAATAAAAAACACCAATTACAAGATAATGAACCACTATTTAACTGCTTTACCTAATATAGAAACTCAAGCAGGTGTCAAGGAAAGACTCGAATTTGTGCTGCAGTCTGCTGTGCAGATGGACTTGTACTCGTATCGACGCAAATCAGCAAGTGTGTGGATAAAAAGTCATGCATCTGAAGGTAGCAACGGAAAGACTGTTGCAAGGTAATGTACTAGAGGACGTACTTGCACATAGTGACACACAAGGGAGGATCAGCATATCCTGTCCAGCATATCCTGTCCGGCATTGTCATGTCGTCTGCATGGTGTGAACCGTCCCGTCATCTGTTCGATAAAGTTGAAAAACCATCACTCCGATAAGAACGAGCCCCTGAAGTGATTTTTGCTAAAATTACTACGACTGTTTGTTTATCAGGGTTCTAAATCGGAGATTACCGCGCCCACCCATGAGAGATAAAAGCTTGGGCGTAGGTGGGCTTTGCTCACTTTATCACCATATTGATACTATACAAATAAACCTCTTGCATCGTAATGAATAGAGCTATAACAAGAGTAAATTGCAAATCCAGCACCATCCAAATGCAAACATTGCAAAACCCGCATCAGTCGCATAACCAGTACCACCTCCTGACGGAGTTAATTCGTATCACTCTAATCATGGTCATGTGACTGATCCATATGAGTCTACACGCGCCAAAAATAAAATTGGGGAACTGTTGTTGCTCCCCCACCTTTTTGTTTTCCAGCCCCGACCCCTCAAAAGAGCCTCTGATTGATGTCCTTACACGAGCACAGCAACCGCTACACGTGGTTGCGTACCTGTCGGCTGTTGGCTCCGCGTGCAAAGTGAGATCGAGTGCTTGGTCGATGTGGTTTTCCAGACTGCTGTATTGTGTGGTTGCGATCCTCACAGATCTACTCTTAATCTCATTATACGTTGCGTACGGTCGCTCTTCTTTATTTCAAGAGCTGTTCCGACTGCATGCCTGTCTCCGCTGTCCATCTACCACACAGTTTCTCCACCCTTCGCGTCAGATGCCGTGTCTTCACTTCCACGATCGACTGTGTCATGACGCAGTCAACGGCTTGCTCGTGGATTTCTTGGTCTTATTCCTTCTCTTCTTTCGAACTCCCTCCCGTCGTCTCCAGAGATCGTCGACCACTCAATCCGTATACCTCGGTCCAAATCATCCCGCGGACATCGCAGTGGGACCCAAAGCCGATGAAGACAGCGATCAGGAGGAGGAAGGAGTAAGAGACGTGGCTGCAGAACCGGGGGATGTGGCGAAGGACGCTGGAGTCAATTTGAGGCTGTCCGAGACCACATCGATTGTGCCGCCGGGACTACAACTGCGCAGTTGCTGGTAGCGGCCTATTACCAGCGACTGCGCAGTTGTAGTCCCAGCGGCGTTTTGTTGGATCTGTACCCTTTCCTAGACCCACGTCAACGATAATACTTCGGTCGGGTATGCAAGGGAAGTGTATAGGACGATTAAAGTGAATGGAACCATAGCCGATGCGGTACGAGAGAGAGAAAGTGTGCTCGATAGATGTAGCCCATAACTGAGTGACTGACAGACTAAACCACATGCTGCTAGGTTTATTGCTATTGCTTGTATTACTATTTACTGTTGTTGCTGAAGTTGTGCAGACTTAAGTTGGTGTCGCGTTCTGAGAGTTTGACAACTTTTTGGCTGGAGCCAAGTTTTTACTACCAGTGTCAAGTACGTGAAAGTGGCTGGGGAATAGATAAGGTAAGATGACTGAATGCTGGTGAGCTAATGTTGTGGTGCACTTTATGCAAGATGCTGCAAGTTCATGCTGTAACATCCACCGATGTCCAGAGTTCCAAGGTTTAGGCTCGAAGTGGCAGGTGAACAGATTGACAAGAGCGTCAAACGACCCTGACAGCACAGTTATAAGCGTTTCAACTGGAACAACGTGTAACCCGATACTAGAGCGTCGTCTGTAATACCCCCCTTGCCTACATCCGAACGGGTTACTTCTTGAAACATCCATAGATAATAAACGTGGGCAATGGTCGACAAGAGCCACCAGAAACTCGTCTGTAAGTTTCCTCTCTCCATCAACCAGCAGCGTTTCCAATTTAAAGCAATGAGTGGAAATGCAGGCGACTGCACAGGAAGTTGCAGTAGATGAGCTCTTGAGCTTTATCATGCCTAGATTGGTGCACTTTCGAGCGATCGTTTAAACTCCATCTTCTGATAATTGTCGGCAATAGTTTAAGTTGATCATGTCCAGTGTTTGCGAGTGGAGATGACCAATGGCTTGAAAAGCAGCTTCCGTTAGTCTAAGACACTTGACAGCGTGCACTTTAAGCATCTGATCGCGTGGGGCCTGGACAATAGCCACAAATTCACGATCCGAAAGCTATTACCAGCCGGAGACCGCTAAGTGCGTCAGACTGGAAACTGCGGGGATCAGGGTGATAAATATCCTTCCTGGATGTCGCACCCAATGAGCGTCAGTCTCTTCACCTGTGGCCCATGACGTCTCTCCAAAATAATGATGAGCGTGGACGCGCATTGACTCCTTGGTGTTGATTGTTCGAGCTACACGTGGGTCCAGAAGCTCGCATTTGCCAGCTTCCGTCTCCACGAACCACTTAAGCGCTCGAGGGCGAGAATACCGTCCATTATGAGATAGGAAAGGAGCTTATGGACAACATCGTTCGACAGACAAGTGGCGTTGACCATCCTTGTGGTGAATTCGATAGTCGGACGGGTGGATTACCACAGAAGGTTAAAGAATGAAGCCATCATTGGCCTTCATGTGGCCTGCCGCGGTTAGGTAAGAAAAATCGACGTGTACCAAGTACGACGGATGATAGGTGAGATCAAAAGCAAGGGTGTTTATTGTGGTTTACTAATAAGAAAGCTGGTTGAACAGGAAGTCTAAGGTTGTTATTTTAAAAGTGCTGAGTAATTAAGATTTGATCAGCATTCTGACCAATAATGTGCTCTAATTTAAGGGGTAAGGGCTAATTAACAAAAAGGTGGGGGATAAATAAGGAATCCCTCAAATTGATATAGTACAGCTATTGTTGCATTGAGATGTCCTAGGAAAGGGCAGCAATCGACTCAGGCGCATTTCATGGTTCCACTGAACTGGTTCTGGGACAGGTATTCCAGACCGGGGCTGCTGAAACAATGTTTTAAGGACATTTTTCAATCAGAACAGGTAGCGCAAGGTGAAGAAGAGTGGAGGCAACAGTAACACTTGTGCGTGCCCACAGGAAGGGTGTCTATGGGAGGTTCACTTGTAAAAGCGAGAGTGATTGGGTTTATCTCCAGAGCACTATGATTCAACATGCAACATAGTCGCGCTGATGTTTGCATGGCCATCGCCAAGCCATCAGCTATGCAAATGCGGCTGCTGCCGACATATCAGGCAGCAGTCCAAGGAGGCAAGGCCATAAAGCGTAAGTCAATTGTGGCGCTCATCCAAGATCGTAATGGAACTTATCTCCAGCAATATAGTGCCAAGGCCTACAGAGCTAAGGAAGCGGTTGAGGAAGAGATGGACGGGCAAAGGCAAGCATCTTTCTCGCTTTTGGCTCCGTACTTGGTGAAATTGAGGCACGTGAATCAATAGAACACTGTTACACTTATAGTAGGCCAAGACAACCGCTTCTATCGATTTTTGTGGCATTCGGCGCTTCCATCAGTAGCCACCATTTTAATTAGCCGGTGGTTGGCTTCGACGGTACGCATTCGCGCCATGCCAAATACAAGGGCGTGATACATTGTCTTCTGATGAATGAGATGAGAACGGTCCTAATGTCACGCTTGCAAAGGCGTTCGTACATGTGTAAACTGCATCTAAGCCGGAATTGGTCTCGTTAATGACGCAGTGACGTGCAATCGTGGACACATTCAAGGTGCTGTAAAGCCAATTTTCTTAAGGACAAGAACAAGTGTTATAAATTCGATTTTGTACAATTCTCATCATGTGCAACATCAAGAGAAATTTCGTATTTTCAGAAACTGAATCCGAGAATGTTGTGTGGAAAAAGGCTGGAACCAACTTTAATGCTACGCTATTGGCACTGCGGACCAAGTTTGGGAGTGAT